TCTAGTCATGCATCTATTGATAATGTAACATGCAGTGTTTACAGCCTCTGCCCAGAAGCTGTGGGGCAGTTTACTAGAAAGAAGCATAGTCCTAGCCATGTCTTCAAGAGTCCTGTTCTTTCTTTCAACTACTCCATTTTGTTGGGGAGTCCTAGGGGCAGAGAAGTTATGATCTATACCATGCTCATCACAGAATTCAGCAAACTTAACATTTTCAAATTCAGTTCCATGATCAGACCTAATGGATGCAAGTTGATTACCTAGTTGTTTTTGAATTTTTCTAACAAAAGCAGTAAACATGTCAAATGATTCATGTTTGGATGTTAGAAATAGTACCCAGGTAAATCTAGAATAATCATCAACAAGTACCATCACATATTTCTTTCCACCTCTGCTCAAGGTTCTTATTGGACCACAGAGATCCATATGAACCAGTTCCAACGTCTTGGTTGTGCTTACCATTTTCTTGCTTTTGAAGGATGATCTTACCTGTTTCCCCCTTGCACAGGCCTCACAAACTTTGTCTTCCTTGAACTTGATGTTAGGTAGCCCTATCACCAAGTACTTAGAGACTAATTTGTTTCGTTGATTCAGACTAGCATGACCAAGTCTTTTGTGCCACAGGAGGGGATCATTATCCAACACACTTAGGCAGGTGAGTTCATTTTCTGAAAGAGTAGCAAAATCTATAATGTAAAATATTGTTTAAACTCTTTTTCCCCTGTCAAAACTAATCTTNGGGGTGCGGGGGAGATGAACGAGGGGGTAGGGGGTGTGTTTCGGACATATATATATTAAGTAAAACCAGCTTCAGGACCGTTCGATCAAGGAACCTCGACGGTCCTGATTGAACGAGTCCAAACGACGTCGTTTCACATGGGCTGGGGAATTGGACCAGGCAAGGTTGGACGGGTCTGGGACGGATCAGGCCTATTTTATTTGGGCTCAGCCATTTGGGCCCAATTTCTGGCAGCCCCTTTTGCATTTCTTTTGTATTTCATTTTGTATTTTTTGTATTTTATATTTATTCATTTTTCCTTAATTTTAAAAATGCTAAAACAAGACAAAGACTCAATTAAACTATTTAAACTTCCTAAAATTACTTAAAACTCTATTTAGAAATAAAACGCAACAAATAACAATTAAGAGTGCAACAAGACTTTTTCTTTATTCTAAATCTAATTAATACCTAATTAATACTAACAATTGTGAAATTAAAATCCTTAAATGTATGTGCATATTTTCTGTATTTTTTATGAAAAATGCAACCAATTAACACAAAAACTCAAACAAAAATTCACAAAAAAAATTGTAAAATAATAAAGAAATCAATTATTTGAAACTTTTGGAATTAATTTGCTTAGGGCAAAAATCACGTGCTCACAGCTGCCCCTCTTTGCCCGGAAACACGAAGAGTTTTCGTGCAAAGACAAGTGAGCGGAAACGAGCGATTTTGCCCGTTCGCATATTCCGTGTGAAGCATCTTGAAAGAGTTGACCGCACCCTGCTTCTGAGGTTGCCTACATATCCTTGGCTAAACAGGAATCAGGTCAGTGTAGTTCGAGAAAATTTGGTAGCTGGGACTACCAGGAGCTGTGATCTCACCGCTTTTGCTGCTGCTACTGCTTACTGACCTCCTTATTACACCAAAAGGAAATCAAAAGCTAAACTAGCTATGCCTATCAACTATGAGTTACAAGATTCCTATCTATAATTGCCTTGAAACTTGGTCTTGAGTCTCAGCTGATCTTGCTGTGGACTCCGATCTGAATCTTGATGCTCGCCAGTTGTAGGTGTTTTACCTCTTCTGCAGCATTAAATCAAAACAGGGTCAACGGAGCTTGTGACTTCAATCAGATTTTTGAGCGATCCGCGCCCTTGCTTGCTTCACATTACAGTTCATCTTTTGTTCTTTTCTTGATTCTAGATTGAGATTTATTCCATTGATCATCTCACACCTTGTGTCTTGAGGTTGACCTGCTTAAGATACCAAAACAAACAAACGAACGAAATTTTCTGCCCCAGTTTTCACTATGAAAATTTCGTGAGTTAGTTGTGACACATATTTAATCAAATTGGGAATGTGCAAAGGGATCTTCGGTTTTTGTTCCGGGGTTTTGGGAAAGAAAGAATACTCCACGGTGTTTGTGCCGGGAGATCCTCGATTTTTGTTCCGGGATTTGAGAAGAAAAGCTCCACGGTTTTTGTGCTGGGAGATCCTCGGTTTTTGTTCCGGGATTTGGGAAAGAAAAAGCTCCACGGTTTTTGTGCCGGGAGATCCTCGGTTTTTGTTCCGGGATTTGGGAAAGAAAAGGCTCCGCGGTTTTTGTGCCGGGAGATCCTCGGTTTTTGTTCCGGGATTTGGAAAAGAAAAAGCTCCACGATTTTTGTGCCGGGAGATCCTCGGTTTTTGTTCCGGGATTTGAAAGAAAAAGGCTCCACGGTTTTTGTGCCGGGAGATCCTCGGTTTTTGTTCCGGGATTTGGGAAAGAAAAAGCTCCACGGTTTTTGTGCCGGGAGATCCTCGGTTTTTGTTCCGGGATTTGGGAAAGAAAAAGCTCCACGGTTTTTTTTTTTTTTTTTGCCGGGAGATCCTCGGATTTTTGGCCGGGATTTGGAAAGAAAAAGCTCCACGGTTTTTTGGCCGGGGGATCCTCGGTTTTTTGGCCGGGATTTTGGAAAGAAAAAGCTCCACGGTTTTTGTGCCGGGAGATCCTCGGTTTTTGTTCCGGGATTTGGGAAAGAAAAAGCTCCACGGTTTTTGTGCCGGGAGATCCTCGGTTTTTGTTCCGGGATTTTGAAAGAAAAAGCTCCACGGTTTTTGTGCCGGGAGATCCTCGGTTTTTTGGCCGGGATTTGGAAAGAAAAAGCTCCACGGTTTTTATGCCGGGAGATCCTCGGTTTTTGTTCCGGGATATTTAAGGAATGGGATCTTATGATTCGTTTTTCTTTTTGGGATTTTTATTTTAACTTCTTTTCTTCTTTCTTCTATCTTTTGCTTTTCCTTTTTCATGTTTCTCCTTTTATTTAGCAAAATACATGAAAGAACTTGGGGAGGGAGAAACTTCCTTTTTGGTCATTTTCCTGTTGCAGAGTTGTTTCAGCGCTTGCGCATTTCATTTCTTTTTGGACTGCACCTGCTTCTTGCACGGTTGCTTTGAATCAAACCTGTTTTCAACAGATAACAATTTGTTAGTTTGAAACGGTGGTTGGTTTTGTGGCCTTGATCATCTCAATTGCTTGATCTCGGCCCCATATCCGTTGAGAATTTTGCTGCTTGTTTGTCTTGAGGGTAAATCTCCTTTCAAAACGATCGGGTTCAGCCTTCAGGATTTCATTATGAATCGCCCGTGTGGGCTCTGACCTTGTCACTTTATTCTGCCCTTGCCTTTGATTTTCTTTCTTTTCCAATATTTTTGCTTCAAAAGCATCAATNAACACAAAAACTCAAACAAAAATTCACAAAAAAAATTGTAAAATAATAAAGAAATCAATTATTTGAAACTTTTGGAATTAATTTGCTTAGGGCAAAAATCACGTGCTCACACAACCTTGCTCCGGGTGGTCCGAATCTCACTCGAGCCACCCGGGACCCCATCCAATTATACCAACAAGTTCACAAATATAATCCGGACTTACTCAAAGTCTCAGAACACATATAATAACAACAAAAACAAGAATCGCACCTCAAAACCAAATTAATTAACTTCTAAATTACAAGCTTATTCTAACTAACTCCGAGCGCGACAAATCATACTTAGACAACTCATTATGATGCCAAATTTTACGCATAAGTCACCAGTCGCTATACGAACCTATTCTAAGGCTCGGAATCCCAAACGAACATCAATAATATCCAAGTTTACTTCAAATCAAATTTTGAAAACTCTAAGACCTTCAATATGCCAAATTCTACAATAAGCACCGAAACGATCCCGGTCCACCTGAATTTCAATCCAAACATACGCCTAAATCAAAAAATTACCATATGAACCTATTGGGACCTCCAAATCCTGATTCTGAGGTCATTTATTTAAAGTGTTGAGTCAAGTCAAACTTCGCCACCTTCGGCCAATATTAAGGAACTAAGTATTCTGAATACAACCCGAACCCTTCCAATAATAAACCAATAGTCCTTGAAAGTTATAAATTAGGAAGCACATATGAAAAGTCTCAAATAGGGAAACGGGGATCTAGAAAGCAAAGCGACCGGTCGGGTCATTACATTCTTCACCGCTTAAGCAAATGTTCGTCCTCAAAGGAGTTTAAAATCATGCATGAAGTGCCAAATAAGTGTAGATATCTGCTCCGCATGTCCTTCTCGGTCTTCCAAGTCGCCTCCTCGACTGGTTGACCCCTCTACTGGACCTTCAGGGCTGAAATCTTCTTAGACCTCAACTTGCAAACCTTCCTATCAACAATGACAACTGGCTTTTCCTCATAAGCTAAGCGCTCATCTAGCTGAATTGTGTTGTAATCCAACATATGGGACCTGTCAGCATGGTACCTCCAGTGCATAGATACGTAGAATACTTGATGAACTTCGGATAGACTAGGAGGTAAAGCAAGCTTGTACGCAACCTCACCAACTCGCTCCAAAACCTCGAATGGACTAATGAACCTTAGAATCAACTTGCCCCTCTTTCCGAACCTCATGATACCGTTCATCGGCAAGACTTTCAAAAGTACATTCTCGCCTACCACAAATGACAAATCACACGCTTTCTTATCCGCATAACTCATTTGCCTAGACTGTGCTGTGCAAATTCGCTCTTGAATAAACTTTACCTTATCTAAGGCATCCCTTACCAAATTAGTGCCATATAACCTAGCCTCACCGGCCTCACACCAACCGATGGGGGATTGATATCGTCGACCATACAAGTTCTCAAATGGAGCCATCTCGCCGGACTTAAAACTGTTGTTATAAGTGAACTTGGCCAATGGTAATAATCGATTCCACTACACTCCGAAGTCAATCATACATGCTCTGAGTATATCCTCCAAAATCTGAACTATTCGCTTCGACTGCCCGTCGGTCTGTGGACGAAAGGTCGTGTTGAGATCTACCTGGGTACCTAACTTACTCTATACTGCTCTCCAAATATTTAAAGTGAACTGAGTGCCTTTATCTAAAATAATGTAAATAGGCATGCCATGCAACTGGACGATCTCCTGAATATAAATTTGGACCAACCTCACTAAAGTGCACGTAGTCATCACCGGAATAAAGTGTGCATACTTGGTTAGTCTGTCGACAACGACCCAAACGACATCAAATTTCCTTAACATCTGCGGTAAACCAACGACAAAATCCATAGTGATGCGCTCCCACTTTCACTCTGGTTTAACCATCTACTGAAGTAAGTCGCCAGGCCTCTGATGCTCGTACTAACCTGCTGACGATTCCGACATCTTGCCATATACTCAACGTTATCCTTATTCATCCACTAACACTAGTAACGCTGCTTCAGGTCACGATGCATCTTCGTGGTACTTGGATGAATGGGATAACGTGAATTGTGTGCCTCCTCCAAAATCATCTCCCTCAGGCCATCAACATTAGGAATACATAAGCGACACTAGAGTCGCAGAACACCATCACCTCCGATAGTAACCTCTTTGGCATAACCCTGTTGCACCGTCATACTGACTAGCCTTGAACTGCTGGAATAAAGAAGATTGAGGCAAAACACATGCAAGAACCCGACTAGGATTTGAAACCTCCAACCTCACAAGTCGATTAGCTAAAAACTAAATGTACAAAGCCAAATGGCCTCTCCTCTGCTAAAACGAATGCCAAACTACCCATACTTTCGGCCTTTCTGCTCAAGGCACTCGTGACCACATTCGCCTAGATCGGATAAAGGATGGTAATATTATAATCCTATAGTAACTCAAGCCACATGCTTTCCTCAAATTAAGATCTCTTTGCTTAAACAGATGCTGCAAATAGTAGTGATTTGTGTAAACCTCACACGACACTCCATAAAGATAATGCCTCCAGATGTTAAGAGCATGAACTATCGCAGCCAACTCCAATTCGTGCACATGGTAATTCTTCTCGTATGGCTTCAACTAACGTGAAGCATATGCAATAACCCGCCCCTCCTGCATCAATACACAAACTAAACCAACACGTGAAAGCGTCGCAATACATAATATACTCCCATGGACCAGAGGGAAAAACCAACACTGGTGTCGTAGTCAATGTGGTCTTGAGCTTCTGAAAGCTCGCCTCGCAAAAATAATCGGACCCTATGAACTGAGTACCCTTCTGGGTCAATCTAGTCAAAGAAGTTGCAATAGATGAGAAGCCCTCCACAAACCGGCGATAATAACCTGCTAGCCCCAAGAAGCTCCTCGTCTTGATCGCGGTGGTAGGATGAGGCCAACTCTGAATTACCTCGATCTTCCTGGGATCCACTTTAATGCCCTCACCTGATACAACATGCACCAAGAAAGCTGCAGAATCTAACCAGAACTTGCACTTGGAGAACTTAGCTTATAGGTTTTGTTCCCTTATAGTCTGAAGCACTATCCTCAAATGATGCTTGTGCTTCTCCATGCTACGCGAGTAGATCAATATGTCATCAATGAAGAAAATGAAAAATGAGTCAAGATATGGCCTGAAAACCCGATCATCACATCCATAAATGTTGCAGGATCATTAGTCAAGACATGATTAGAAACTCGTAGTGCCCATATCTAGTCTAGAAAGCCGCCTTCAGAATATCCGAAGCACGAATCCTTGGCTAATGATACCCAGATCTCAAGTCGATCTTCAAAATACCCTAGCACCCTGAAGCTAATCAAACAAATTATCAATACGAGGAAACGAATATTTATTCTTGATGGTGACTTTGTACAACTGGAGGTAATCAATTCACATTCGCATACTCCCATCTTTCTTCTTCACAAATAATACTGGTGCACCCCAAGGCGAGACACTCGACTAGATGAATCCCTTCTCTACCAACTCCTGAAACTTTCTCAACTCCACTAGAGCCATAAGATCAGGCGGAATAGAGATAGGCTGGCTTCTTGGTGCCAAATCAATATCAAAATCGATATCACGATCCGGTGGCATGCCTGGTAGATCAGCAAGGAATACATCAGAAAACTGCCACATCACAGGCACTGAATCTACCATTGGAGTCTCCACAACAGTATCTCAAACAAAGGCTAGATAGGCCAAACAACCCTTCTCGACCATATGGAGCCTTCAAGAAAGAGATAACCTAACTAGATTACTAATAGATGAGCTTCTCTACTCCAACCTAGGCAACTCTAGCATCGCCAAGGTAACACTCTTGACATGACAATCGAGAATGGAATGATAATAAGACAATCAGTACATGCCTAGGATAACCTCGAAGTCAATCATATCAAGCAATAGAAGATCCGTTCTGGTCTCATATCCACATAAAGTTACAGCACAAGACTGGTAAACCCGATTCATAATAGAAAATCACTAGTGGCATGGACACACATACATGAACACCCAAGGAATCACGAGATACATCTAGGTAAGGAGCAAATATAGAAGAGACATAGCAATAGGTAGACGATAGATCGGAGACTACTGCATCTGGTCTGGTTGGGAAGGTATAGAATCTATCCGGAGTGCTACCAAATGGGCCTCCACCTCTAGGGCGACCCCTACCCACCTGACTTTTGCCTCTGGTTGGACGGATGGCGGTGAGGTAGCTGGTGTGATAATCATGGGATGATAGCCTTTCTATACTGTCTTGTTCCAAAGCTTAGGGAAAAACCTTCTCATATGACCAAGCTCCCCGCACTCGACGCAACCTCTTAGTGCGAAAAATTGCTAACCTTAGGTCTGGCCTGGATAACCTGAGTGTCCACTAGAGGAACACTAAATAGCTGGCGAACATTAGATTCTCTTTGGAATGGTACAAAAGTAAGGTCGCGCTGGAGCACCCTGAGCAGGCTGTGGCGCTAAATACATGGGCCTACTAGGCTGGCCCCTCATAAACTGACCTCTGACCCAGATGGGCACCGCTGAATCCACTAGAATATTGAGGCTTCTTATCCCTTGGTGTGAACTCTCTGCCCTAGTTGTGGATACACTTGATCCTCCTAGCTATCTCCACAACTTGATTGTAACGAGTCTCATTCTCTGCCTCTCGAGCCATAGAAACCTGAATCTCATAATGCAAACCCGCAATAAACCTCTACACTCTCTCCGTATCTATAGGAAGTATGATAGTTGCATGACGAGACAACTCAGAGAATCTTACCTCATAATTTGTCACGGACGTCTGATCCTGCTGGAGCCGCTCGAACTTACCTCGTAACTCCTTCCTCTGTGAGGGTGGATATACCTCTCCAAGAAGAGGTGTGTGAACTAATCCAAACTGAAATATGGTGAAGTCCACCCCGTTGGACTCCACTAATCCCATATTATGCACCCTCTCCCTGTAACGGTCAATGAAATCATGTGGGTCCTCTAACTGCTCACCGCTAAAGACAAGAGGATGAAGCTTAGTCCATCTATCCAGCCACTTCTGCTCTTCAAAGGTCGCGGCGAATATGACCTCTGCTCTAGCCACTACAATCGGCTGAACCCTGTCCACAGGTAGTGCATCCGTGGTCTGATACACAACAGCAGCATGCCCTAGCGTATGAGCCGTAGGGGTCTGTGCTCCCCTTCCCGCCTGAGTTGTGGCTGAATCAGTTTGAAATTGTCCAGCCTGAGCCATAGAATCCGTTAATCACTGCATACGGCCCATGACTCCTGTAAGCCCAGTGCGGTCATACAGTTTGCTGGGACCGGCTCGGCTCCAGGTACCTCATCATGCTCCCAATAGCAGGATCCACTGGTGGTACTACTAGAGCAACTCTAGGACACCCTCGTCCTCTACCAGGAGTTGTGGCCCTCCCTTGGCCTCTGCCTCTACCTATAACGAATGGGGGAGTAGCCTTTGTGCCACCGAGTAATGCGGTCGTGTGCGTTCTCACCATCTGTGAGAGAACAAGATAAAGATACTTAGTATAGCATCGACTGCACGATAGGAGATGATGAAAGATAAGTTTCCTAACACCACATAGCCTCTTGAAGATAAGTACTGTCACGACCCGAAATCCCAACCTCGGGGTCGTGATGGTGCCTAACATCTACTTGCTAGGAAAGCCGACATGAACAGAAAATGTACTGATTTTAACAATTTATGACAAAATAATAACAATGAAAATGGTGTAAGTGTGAGGCATAATATGTTAATACTAAATAACGAGTCTAAACATAACCTAGAAATTGGTGTCACGAGTACATGAACATCTAGAGTGCTAAAAATAAGGTCTGAATAAAATACATTGTTTTGAAACTCAGGAAAACAGTAAAGGTAGGAGGGAAGGGGACTTCAGGGCTGTGAACGTTGTGCTTCTGTACCTCAAGTCTCCGTTAACAACTGAATCCAAGCAGAAAGTACTTAACGCCGCTGGGACCCACTCTGGTATCTGCACAAGAAGTGTAGAGTGTAGTATGAGTACAACCAACCCAATATACTCCGTAACTATCGAGCCTAACCTCAACGAGGTAGTGACGAGGCTATGACAGAACACCTACGTAAATAAACCTGTACCAGAATATATAAAGCAGCAATAACAAGGGAGAATAATAAGTACAAACTGGGAGGGGACATGTAAGAAGGGAAAAATATAACAACTACGACAGGTAAGAAATTACGAAGTAATCATGTAAATCATCTACCGGTAAATCAACTAAACCAATGATATGGAAATGACATGGCATCACCCTTCGTGCTTTACTCTCGTCCTCACCATGTNAGACACAGATCAGTGGTGCCTTTCAAACATCTTAGTATCCTCTTGACAGCAGTCAAGTGAGACTCTTTTGGATTAGCCTAAAAGCGAGC